GCCATTGTTTTAAATCGGACTTCCGAAAATAAAGCAACAATTTCCAAATAGAACTACTAGTAATCCACTCACCCAATGGATCTAAGATTTCATAAGGTTATAGCCCTATGTGGTATCTTCATATGGGTCCAAACCTCACTCAATTTAGAGCTATGTAGCTTAAGATATGGTTATTTTACCACACTATATTTTTTATTGCCATGCAGACATGCTATTGGTAATCGGTAACTGAACTAGGTAATCAATTACCATGCTTGGGTAATCGATTACCAGCCCAAATAGAAGCTGATTTGTGTCCCCTGTTATGTGTAATCTATTACTAACCTGGGATGCAGACGCGAGAATGGAGAAATTGGGTAGATTGTCTTACCACATCGACAGACACATATGAAGACGACCAAAGCCACCAAATACCACCCACAAATCCTTGAGCCTCTTCTAAGGCATATTTATCAAACCTAATTTTCTTCAATAACCGCTTGCAATTTATCCCAGAGGTGCGAGTCTCTACAAGAGCTAACAACCGAATCGAGTATTTGACTACTAAAATCTTCAGGTGCCTACTAAGCTCCTTCTTGGCAACCCCTTTCACGTTCCATACAAGGAATGAGCGCATCATTGAGACGGAGGAGTAGCAGGCTTGACGTGTGTAACACCCCGTATATATCCGGTAATGTTATCATATTATCATATTAAGCTGCGCTTAATTAAAATTGCAGAATATCTTTTTCTTTTCAATTATGATGTCATTAACCATTACCAACTTGATTACTTAACCATTTTTTCAAAACATCGCCTGTATGTATATTGCAATAAACAACTAACTGAAATACCTCATTAATTAAATAACATAAGTATGAGTCTCTAGTCACGGAACTACAAAACGTAGACCGGACCATCTAACAGTTTATACAAATCCAACTAAAAGTACTAACCACAAAGTGTTATGGACAAACCCCATGCTCACCCAAATAAGACAACAAAGCCCAACATCAGTCTCAACAAAAGCAACATAAGCATATAAGTGCAGAAAACATAAACAGCATCCAAATCCAGCATTCACACAGGTCAGCATAACTAACAGCAATAATCATCAACTAAGCTCTGGCCTCCTGCCGCCAGAGACATCAGTCCCCATACTACCTGAACTTGAAATAAGCAATCCCCAAACGTGGAGTGAGATCTCTAAACAAGAAATCTCAGTAAGGCAAGGCGTCCTCAAGGATCTTCCACCCCAAGCTCACTTACATGTGCAATATAAGTTCAAAAACAGTTCATTAGTATCATTTCTAAAACAGTGCAATGCAGCAGATAATCATGTCATGTGTGTCAATACTATTCTACTGGCCAGAGAAATGTAGGACGTACGTCTACAACCCCACAATAAGTACAAGGAATACCGCTTGCACCTCACCCACAACCTCACCCTCTTGTATGTACCACATACTCAGGCTTACCGTATAGGTGGAACACCACATGCATATTATAAAGGCACTCGCATATAACAGCTCAACAGCATTTCACAAATCAATATATCATGAAAAAAAGATCATGCATATAACTATACCCCCATGGGACATGGTGGAACCAACAATGGCTAAACCGAGGACACGAAAGCTTACCTTGTAAGCTAGCTATGCAAACCAAGAGTCCACACGGCTCAAGGCCCACAAACAGCACAATCACAATCTGCCCATACCATAATTACTCATCAATAATCATAGCTCAGATTACCTTAAGTGATTAAGTCTTTCCTACTCATTTTAACTCATTACATGCTATTTCAGCAGGAAGTATTCGAATACTCCACGAGTAGTATTCGAATACTCCAGCTCTCCAGAAAGTATTCGATTACTTTCACTAAAGTATTCGAATACTCACAAGTACCCGAATACTTTTCCCCCTAGTATCCGAATACCTCATTATCCGAATACCAAACCTCACTGTATTCGAATACCTTCCAGTATTCAAATACTTCTTCAAAGGTATCTGAATACTTTTCTTCCCAGAAAAGTATTTCAATACTCCTGCAAGGAGTATTCGATTACCAAGGACAAGTATTCGAATACTACACGGAAAGTATTCGAATACTTCTCCAACAGAATGCAGAAATTCGAGCCAACTTCTGCAAAATGCCAAATTTAAGGATCCAAAAGCGATTGGGAGTCCAATGACTCCCTAAACAGATAACCACCAACATGTTATGAACCCAAAAACACATTCCTTTACTCAAATGGTTAAAGTTTCACTTATTAACCTATTAAGTAAGCTTTAGACCTAAAAATACACAAAGGATGATCATGAATACCTCCAAGGCACCAAAACTTCGAAAATGAAACAGAAGGAAGCCTCCAACATAGCACCCAAGTTCTGACTTCACAAGGCTACGAAAATACACTTCAAGCTTGACCCTTTATGCCAAAAGGTGGCTTCTTGAAGCTCAAGAAGCCAAGAACAAGCCCCACTCACACAAACTCAGACTAAACAGCCCCTAACACTCCCAACAAACAGCAAGCATATCCTCTGAAATGCTTCACAACTCACCACCAAGGTTACCCCACACACACTCAAGTGTTTAAGTGGCAAGAACAAGGAGAAAGGTGACACCTTTGGCTCACAAGAGGGAAGGGAGGTGAAGGTGGCAATGGGAGGCACAAGGCTGGAGAGAAATCAGAAAACCCACGTAGGCACATCACACATGGCCTAGGGTTTGGTGCAAGATGCATATATATAGGCACTTAAGTTTTAAACACACATTATTAGCAATTATAGCTACGCTTAGCATTTGAATCCTAAACTCAGGATTCTTAACCTACTCATTTTTACAAGATTTATCATATTTTTCTTATATATTTCGGAGCACCTTTCCGGTACGCGCTTTTCATAGCCAGTACGAGTTTCTGGCACCAGTTCTCATTATTTTAACTTGAAACTCGTTTTACAAGTCCTACATATTATTCTAGTAATTATCATGTACTTTTCATAATTTTCCGGGATACTTTTTCGGTACGCTTTTATACCGACTAGCAGAACCGGTATATGCACTTTTCTTCCGAAAAGCGACTTTCAGCTTTTGCTATGTCATCTTTCCTTTCAAATTGTACAAGAAAGAAGTTATTCGCTATGTCTGTTACCAAATTTCTTCCTTCTTTTGCCCACATGCGTTCCAGCCGTTATTTCATAAAGTCATAAGACACTTTTTTCCTAGCAGATTCACGATCAATGTTTGCTGCCATTGTCACCAAGCTTTTTGCTTAAACGCGTTTGACATTTTGAAGTTGGCAACTCCGTTGTCGTTTCTACAAATCTGGATGTCGGGCTCTAACTTATGCCTTGCCTCCAATGGTTCTCCAATAATAGAAACATGATCATCTTCGTCAGGAATAATCTCATCCCATTTACTGTGTTGCACCCCATTCGCATATGGCCTCTTTTTCACAGCCACCAAATACTTTCCAACCACATTCTATTGATCACCATCTCTGTCTTTGTCGATTTCCGCTCTTTCTTTGCCTCCATGGAGATTGCCGCCAAACCCTAGCAGAGCCTGGTATTATGTTAGTTAATTTTGTTAAAAAGTTAAATTAATAATTAATATATCATTATTTTATATTAAAAATTATATATTTTAATCTACAGAATTTATATAAAAAATATGAAGTTTATGAGTCTGTGATCCTTCATTCAAGGGGGAAACCTCTACAATACCTTACAAAATTATGTATAGATTATATAGATATTTAATAATATTTTTTAAGATAATTATACTTATTTCATTTAAGTTAATGTTTATTATACCCAATACGAAGAGACTTCACTGTAGCAGTATAGCCCTACCTATAATTAATAATTTTGCATTTAATTTTGTATTGCGATTAATAGTTGACCCTAACCTTCAGCAACTTTAAAAGAAGACCGATCATAAGCAATATTGTTAAAACCACGATTCAGATACCAAGAAGAATCACATTCTAGTAGGATCGTCTATCATCGCTTTGCTAACTCCTAAAATCAGCGGGATAGTGTATCCTTATATTTCTGCGCTTTGATTAAAAAACCCCGAAATACTAAAATTTTAAACCCACAAACCCATGATCCGAAAATACCTACAACCTCTAATACTCGGACACACAATTTTTTAGAAAAAGGGCGTGTCGAACACGTGTACGATATGGACACGTTCCGACACGCGGTTAATATTTTGGGACACATGATCAACTCTTTCGACACGTTCGGACACATTTTTTGACACGTAATCAACTTTTTTCGACACGTGATCAACGCTCCGACACGTTTTTTTAGTCTTGATTTTATTTTATTAATAAAAAAAATTATTTATAAATTAATTTTTTTTCTGTTATAAAATTTGACATGAAAAATTAACAAGGTACGAAAAAATATTTTTGTGTATATTTATGTTATAAAATTTGAATATTTGATTAGTTATATAACTTATTATGAACTCTTATATGTATTAAATATAAATTATATTATATATATTAAAAATACTATTTAATATCACAACGTGTCAAAATATGTCATTTTTTAAAATTAACGTGTCGACTTGTCGTGTCCCATGTCAATGTCGGTACATCATAGCCTACAACCAAAAAACACTTATGAAGCAGAGGAAAAATGTTTGGGGTTTTAAGTAACATGTATTTGTGTTATTTTAATTGAGAAAAAGATATAATTTATTATTTTTATTTAAAATTTAAATTTTTAAAAAAAATTAACCACTCTTTATGCTATAATTTCGATTATTTATATTTTTCTCTCATTAAAATAATTAACTATAGGGAAATTATTTTCTCTAATGGTAGAATGTCACGTAGACATAAAAAGATATGCATATAATTTTTTTTCTTTTTTATTTTTCTTTAACTTATGAACTCTCCATTTTTTTATCAGTGTAGAAAAAAAAAAATTAAAGTGAAGTATTATCCTGCACTGTATATCCATTAAATAAACAAACAGAACCCTAAAACAAAAGCCCTATAGTCAGAAACTCTAACGTTTTATCCAAAAGAAAAAAAAAAAAATCTCTAAATGGCTCTCTCCTCCTTCTTGTGACGGATAACTGCAAGTCTGCAACTGCCTGCCATCTCCCTCTTCTTTCGACGAACGACTGTGGCTGTGACTGGACTGTGAATCTTCTGTCACCCCCTGCGCAAAACAACCTTCTCTTCCTCTCCTTATTGCGCGAACCAAAGGTGTTTCACTCTGCCATTCTGGTTCTGATTGTAGTTTTTGGAAGATATTTGGTGTCTTTTTAACTTTGTTCAGCTGACCATATCATTGGAATTTTTTTTTGAACGAAGGGAATATTTTATTTTTTAATGCTTCTGTCTGTAAAGCATTTTGTGTTGGTATTCTCCCATTCTGACCATAACTATGTTTGAAACCTTTTTTTTAAGCGATTCTATAATTTTTTAATTTTTTAATGCTTCTGTTTGGATTTTTCAAATTTTAAAGCATTATGGTTTAGTACTTCAGTGATTTTGATCTATTCAACAGAAGCTATATAGTATGAATTGTGATTTTAGTAAATAGAAAACATGAGGAATTAGGATTGTGATGGTTGATAAGCTATTTTACGGACATATATATGGTTGAATATAATTTGTTATGTTAGATAGTAGGATTTTGTAAACATGTAGAGACACTTTTTTTTCTTCAAAAGAGTCAATCAAAATGCACTTTAGATCAAGTTTACTTATTTATTTCTTTTTTTCTTTTTTCTTTTACTGCAAATGTAGATAGGTACATAGAAATATAATCTTTTTGAAGCTTACTGTATTTTTGGAAAATGTGTATAGAAAGTGTTTTCGTACAATTTGTGAAACACCTTTGATATTTCTACACTGTGGGTTGAGGTGTATTAGCCCTTTGTTCAATTGCTTCTGATGGTTTTGACTTTAGAATATGTGTAAGTCATTTTAAATTTTATGTTATTCACAGGTTAGAAACTGAGAATGGGGGAAGAGAATGAAGAAATGAAAACATTTAAGGATTTGGGCTTATCTGAGTCACTGGTGGAAGCTTGTGAAAAATTGGGTTGGATAAATCCATTAAAGATACAGGTAGAAGCGATTCCTCTTGCACTGGAAGGTTAGTATTTTTATGAGTTTTGTCATGTCAATACTGGTTTTCTGATCTTTAGATTTTTCAAATATAATTTTGTTTGCTACATGGAGACAGACAAAAAGAATGAATGCAAAATCATTATCATTGTTATACGACACTGATGATAATTGGATGTTGAACATGAAATTTTATATATCAATGTTATAGTGTTTATATTTGCTCTAGTTGATTGCATTATTTTTTCAGTAGTGTCCCATTCCAATCACAATATTTTCCCCTATCTATTGTTCTAGAGTATGGCATGACGATAGTGATTGTGAAACCTTTTTAAATTGCTGGTTATTCTTTGTGGTTTGTGTTTCTCAGGAAAAGATGTGATTGGACTTGCCCAAACGGGTTCTGGTAAGACTGGAGCTTTTGCCCTCCCCATATTGCATGCCCTCTTAGGAGCACCACGCCCAAAAGATTTCTTTGCTTGTGTGTTGTCTCCCACAAGGTTTGATACTTTGATACCTGATCATGGTTTTGATTTCGGTATACTTTAAATTTTACTGAATGTAATTGTTCTGACTGGTATATAACTGGTTTATTTCTTCTATTGTTCACCTTTTTCTTGATCTAGAGAACTTGCTATCCAAATTGCTGAGCAGTTTGAAGCTCTAGGTTCTGAAATTGGTGTCAAGTGTGCCGTGGTGAGTTTCAATCTATTTTTCTGAAATGATTCATTATGCATGAATTTTATGGCTTCCTGTTTACTGTATTGCTTTGAGCTTGTTTTATTTTCCTCCCTTGAGACTCTTGCTAGCATGATACTTAGTTTATCATATGATGGTTTGCTGGCACTGTGTTAGTGTTCTATTTATCACACACTTTGCTCTAAGCAATCTATTTGATTGGCATCTTTTCCTTTTTCTCTAGCTTGTTGGAGGGATTGACATGGTACAACAATCCATCAAGATAGCGAAGCAACCTCATATCATTGTAAGTGTTACTGTTGCTAACATTCACCATTCTCTGGATCTAGCTGTAAAACAAATGCCTGCTTAGCCTTTTCAAATTGATCCTATTTGTAGCGATAGTGACCTATGCCAACTCTCAGCTGCTGGGAAATTGGGATACACTTGCAATACCCTCATATACAACCCAAGTTAATCAAAATATCGTCATTGTTGTACATTTCAAAATAGTAGCTGTACACCCGTGCTGGACACTTCACAGGCACTTTGGATACTCTTAGCTGCATTTTACTAATATTTCTATTTATTTTTTGAACTTTTATACCAATACATAGGAGAATACAACATTAATCTGATAAATGATAGCATTTTATCATGTCTACAATGATTTGTGCTAACTTTTAAAACATCAATTCTCTCTTTCGATTTTAGATTTTTTTTTTTTTGTATTAATTTATACTAATTTTATATGTTGTACTATAGACGTGTTGTGTCATATAATTTTTAAATTTTACCATTTGTCCATAGCCTCGTTGAATCATATGTGTTTGGTGTGATATCTTTACTTTGTAGTCAATAATTATACAATTGACTGGTTCAAGAGAAAAGTGAACTTATGCACATTCTGTATGTACAAGATTGAAATTGTACTTATGATTTAGCAATGCCTTTATTTTTCATGTATTTCTTAGTCTTCTCATTTCATCAGTATTTTGTTTATTATTTATGTTGAATTCTTACGTTTTGCAGGTTGGGACACCTGGACGAGTTTTAGACCACCTAAAAAACACCAAAGGATTTTCTCTAGGTAGATTAAAATACTTGGTATGATTTCTACATTATTTTGATTTGAGCTCAAGTTTTCCTTATTTTTGACATCCAATGGCTGGGTACATGTCTTGTGTAACCAAATTTGTTGTTTATATATTGATATTAATTTCTGTATCATAAGGATATTGCAATATTTATATGTTAGTCTACTGTTTGTCGAATGCTTTATTCTTAGTTTCTTTTTTTTTCCCTGATGAATTCTGTGAATGTTTTTAATGGTTATGAATAGGCATGCTTTGATTTCATTTGTTATATAATAAATTCATTTCATTTGTTTCCTGTACTTTGATAGCATTCGGTAATAGTTGAGTTATATCCAAATGTTGTGTTTGTGGATAAAATATGTCATGCCTGACGAAATGCACTCTAATTCTTTGTTCTTTTTCATTGGTTTCCTAATCAATTTCTTGCTTATTTAACTCATCATGGAATATTGATGAGAACTTTTAATCAACATTGTGTTGATTATATGATTCATCTTTGATAGGAACCAAGATGTAGAAATAAGAAATGGAAGAAAAATCTGAAACGTGTGTACTATTGATTAAGGCTGGAATTTCAGCAACAACAATTCAACAGAGATAGGATTGATTAGTAACCATATTGTCCTATATTGTTACTATCTTGGATGCAGATGTACCCAGAGAGATATTATAATGTTTTGTAGTTGGTAAACAATCCATTAATGTTAATAGTATTAGCATAAAAAGATTTAATAATTCTATTATTGGATTGAATTCTTTCTGCTGGTTTTGCCTTCGTATATTTGTTAGCACTTTCGCTTTCAAATATTGTTGTTTCACTGTTTACAAAGTTCTTTTAACTGTTTCTTGTTGGCTGAGTATAGTTTTGTCCTTGCTAACATTCAACTCTTGTCTGCACAAAGCAAATAAATAGATCAAAGTATAGTTGTAATTCCCCCTCTCCCTTTTTAATTGCTCGAAACTTGTAAAAAGTTACAATTTTATTATTTTCATGCAATAAAGTGTTAGCGTTGTGGTTTGTGCACTTCTTGGCACCTGTATCTTGTACGAATCCTGACCTCTTTACTTGGGCTGTGATAGGAACCAAGTGGTTTATTGCAGAGAAATAGGGGGGGAACCCTGATTGCAAAGATCAAAATCACCTACAAAACAAGAAAACAAAGATAGAACTGCAGAACTGCAGAACTACCTCAGTGCCCAAAGGCCCCAAAATTCAACGATGGATGGTCCTCTCCCCTACCCTTCCCTCCCTTTTATCTTTGCTTCTAACCGTTTCCCCTTCCTTCCCACCCGTCTTGCCATGAAGCCAAGATTGTTACCATCCAAATTCCTCTTCTGCCCCTTATTGTGGTCTAGCCTAAGATTCACCTTGTCCTCTAGGTGAAGGTCAGCCAGCGTAAAACCTTCCTATGGATCCCCCTGCTTGAAATGTAAGGACCAAGTTATGCCTGCAGGCTGCAGCATAATAACTTCCGCCTGGATCCCATTGCCCTTCTTCGATTCCTACAGTAGAGTGACAACGAATGTGTTTCCTATTGTGACCAGACTTGGGTGATGGGTTAATGAGACAAAATACAAGGATTTTGTTAATGATAATTTTCATTATTTTTACACTTTTTTTTTATTAAAAGAATAACATGTTTCTTTTCCTTTAACTAAACCAAACAGGAGGATGATTCTCTTACCTTTAATTTCCTTCCCAACTTTTCTGATCACTATAATCCTTTTTTTGTTGTTGCGAAAAGCACAGCATAAGTTTAGATCGATTTGTGTGTTATCTGCCCACCCAATATGCTTCTTGCCTTAATAAGTTCAAGTGTCTACTGGGTTTTGTTTCCTTGAAGTATTTATTTAGTAAATATTTAGAGTTGTGAAGGATAATTTGTCATTCATGTGGCTAAACTGATGAATTGATTAGATGACTTGAATATGGTTATTCTAATTGACACAAGTTGATTTATTGTTGAAACATGTATTTTTCTGCTTTGTTTTAGATGTATCTTACATGGTTACACAGTTATGTTTATAGCAAATAAGCTGCTGATTTGCAACATGTCATTTAGATGTTGGATGCCTTGGATTTTGCATTAAGGATTTTTCAAAAAGATATATTTAAGTAATCTATTTTCTGTCTACCCTATCATATTCTCATCCTCATTTCCATATCATAAATATATTTGGACTAGCTTGATTTCTCTGCATTTTGAGCAGGTCTTAGATGAGGCAGACAGGCTGTTGAATGAGGACTTTGAGGAATCACTTAATGAGATTTTACAAGCTATTCCTCGTGAAAGGAGAACGTTCTTGTTTTCTGCTACGATGACCAAAAAGGTATATATGTAGATTTGGCACTTACTAAATATATCATTCATATGTTTAACATTATTTATTTCTTGGCATTAGCCTTATATAGGTATCTCAATTTGTAAGTGATAGGATCTTGGTCTTCTATTACAGAGAAATAGGGATAAATTTGAGTTATAAAGATCAAAATCACTCACAGCAAAGTTATAAGTTATAACATGATGGAACCCAGAGAAATACAAGACTGAATTCATTAACAATGGAGGCATAGCCTCTTTTTACATACACTGAGACAATATAAATGCAGAAAATAAACCCCAAGAAAGCCTCAACTCCCCTTCAAACCAAATACCTAGGCTCAAGAGTTCCCTAGAGGTCTCTCATTTTCCTCACTAAACATTTCTGAATACATGCATAATAGAAACATCACTCTAAACTTCTATTTATACTAATTCTAAAATACTAATGGGCTTGGATTATTTATTATAGGCCCATCAATACTCCCCCTTCAAAATTCACCTTGTCCTCAAGGTGAAGAAAGAGGACAGATAATGTGAGAAACATTCCACCTGGGTCCCATTGCTTAAAACATCTTGAGCCTGTTCCCTCCTTGACTGATTGAAACAACTCAGTGAATCTAGAAGGCAGTGTGGGCTGATCTTCCTCTTTAAGTGAGCCACAACTTAACTCCACATAACCCCTCTCTATGCCTTTACACCATGTCCAGGTCTGTTCCTTATGAGATATTATACTATGTGACAGTATTGAGTCCCCAAAAGTAGTGTCGAGCTGCATTTTCCATGCAACATTGAACATCAACTTCTTAAAATTAGCATGTATCAACCCCAACCCTTCATATCCCAGAATTCCCTCTACCTTTCTTACTGTGCAAACGAAAAAATCTTGAGCAAGCAACAAGGGGAAATTATATGAAGTCTTTTGGCCTTCGATGGCTCCCAACAATTTCAGCGACCCACTTGACATCATTCCAACCAGGTTCGTCTTTCTCTGGTCCGCCATATTTTCTGATGACAATCGCCGGAATCGTGCCCCCTCTTCGATCTCCACCATTTCCCTTTTCTATATGGCTGCCAAGTGCAAACCCTTGTTCCCCTCCCCTGTCATTTGTGTTTTGCCCGATACCCAAGCCATCCTCTGTTTCCCCATGTCTATGATTTGGACCCAAATTTTGTGAAATCCCCCCCACACTATTGGACCCTCGTTGAAAGTTAGTAGCCCCCAGGCGTGAGTTAAGGCCCAACCCATTACCTTTGTCCACACTTGTTGCCTTTTGTTGATTAATGAATCTGTTTGTTAGTACGGGTTGGATATAATGGTTCCCCTCCTCCTCTACTGGACCTTGGCCCATTTTGACCCAAACCCATACCCATGTTCTCTGAAACGTTCCATCCATCTAAGGTCCGCACCAGAAACTTCCTTTCTTTCACGATCCTCGTGGGCAGCAAACAGACCTTCCACCTCTGTGCATGGGTACTCCTTCGATCCAGATCTGTCCAGGAAAAGAGGCGCAACTCAGCCTTCATGTTCGCCCTTCCTCCATCTTCTTCCTCCTTTACTTGATCTTCTTCAACTTCTTGCACTTCTTCTTCTTCTTCTTTTTCTGTAATTTCTTCTGCTTCTTTTTCTGAGATTTGATATGCCTTAGCGTCTCCTTCTCCTTCGTTGTCTTCTTTTTTAACCTCTGTTTCACCTTCTCTTTCTGCAATCGCTGAATCTACGTCTTTTTGGTGGATGTTGTCTTCTGTTCCTTTGTTTGCTTCTTTTTCTTCTATTTTTTCTGATTTGGTATCTTTGGTTCCTTTTTCTGAGCTTGGATCTGCTCGTTCTCCTTCTTCTTGCGTTTCTTCCTCCACTGCGGCTTCTTTTTCTTCTTTGTCTACCAAATAAATCTCAGGTAGATATTTATTTATAAATGCTCTGGTAAAATCCCACAATTTTGCATTAGGATTAAGACAATTCCAACACTTATATACCAGAAAAGCGCGCACCTTCTAAGCCCACGCAGAGTTTCTGCTAGTTGTTCATCTTCTTCATTTATTTGCTTTTCTTGAAAATGTTGTTCCATAGCAATTTGCCATCCCCAAGCATCGTCTCCCTCTCCATAAAATGCTAGAACCATTGTATCAGATCTGGATCTGTTGCTCGATTTTTTCTTTTTTTTTTTTCTATCAGATCTGGATCAGATCTTGGAATTTGTGTGTGTGGATTTGGACCAGAAGCACTCCCTAGATCGGAAATGCTCTGATACCAAATTGATGGAACCCAGAGAAATACAAGACTGGATTCATTAACAATGGAGGCATAGCCTCTTTTTACATACACTGAGACAATATAAATGCAGAAAATAAACTCCAAGAAAGCCTCAACTCCCCCTCAAACCAAATACCTAGGCTCAAGAGTTCCCTAGAGTTCTCTCATTTTCCTCACTAAACATTTCTGAATACATGCATAACATAAACATCACCCAATGGCCCATCATAAAATACTAATTCTACAATACTAATGGGCTTGGATTATTTATTATAGGCCCATCATGACACTGCAGAACTTTGAGCGTCTGCAACTGTCCCCACCCAAAGGCCCCAAAACTCACTCAGTGGCTCAAACCCTCCCCCCTACCTTTCCCTCCCTTTTAACTTTGCGTCTAACCGTTTTCCCTTCCTTCCCACCCACATACTCAAGATTCTTACATGCAAGTGGAGCCTTTTTTTCCCCCTCATATTCTGAAACATGGAACCCTATTCGATACAGGTTCTTTATGAAATCCTTTTGGGATTTAACTTAAGTTCTGGTTTTTGGTTTATAATTTAATAGATTTTGAAAAGCATTTAATCATATTGTTATTAGGCCGAATCTCTTATTTTTTGTTATGTTTAACATGTGTTTGCTCCATTAAGGATATTATTATGAAGCCAATGATATTGAACAAAATGATTTTTATGGGCTGCTTTTTACTGTAGATGCTTCATTGTTTACATGTATTCATTTTTAAATTTATGATGCTAATAGACAAAGTTGCACACTCACTGTTGCAGGTCCAGAAGCTCCAAAGGGTTTGTTTAAGGAATCCTGTGAAGGTACAACTTTAATACTCGCAAGTATGTTTATATACATATTTTTTTTCTGATATTAGTCAATTTTTTTTATTCAATTTAGATTGAAGCATCATCTAAGTATTCCACTGTTGACACCCTGAAGCAGCAGTATCGGTTCTTGCCTGCCAAACACAAGGTTTCTTTTTCTCCCTTGTTCAATAAAATGTAGGATTTCAGAAAAACTTTGGCTGTCAATTGTACATTGAATTTCTCAATAAGCATGGGTGCTTGACCTAATGGAGGCTGTGTAAAGACTGTTTAAATGTTGAGGCAGAAGTTAATGTGTGTCATATATACTCTGATTTTGTTAACACAAGCATCAGTTCCCTGCTTCAAATGAACTCTATTATTTTGTTCCCCTAAAATGAGTTTTCATAATAAAAGTGTCTCGTTTAGGTTGTCAAAGATATGATATTACAAAAGAAATTTCATGAATAGATGGCCATTAAGTAAAAATCTCATGTTGGCATCATTTCCATTGATTATATATCTGCTGCTTGAAATGTACTGTTGACTGGAGATACGGTTATGGTTAGGTAGGACAAACTTTGATCATGAATTGATTTTGTTATGCAATAGATTCAGCGAAGAAAAAGTATTTTATTTAGTCAAGTACCAAATAAAATGTTGAGATATATAAAATCATTAATGTAGCCTCACCCAGTAGTTTAAGTTTTTGGGTTGATTTGGTTCTTTAAATGGTATCAGAGTCTCGGTGTACCGGGTTCGATCCTTACCGCCTCCTACTTTCTTTCAAGTGGAATTTCTTTCTTCACACAAGTAGGTGGGCCTGTGCATTGTCCACCCTTCAAGCCCAGTGGGCTCTCGATTGAGGGGGCGTGTTGAGATATATAAAATCATTAATGTAGCCTCACCCAATAGCTTAAGCTTTTGGGTTGATTTGGTTCTTTACATAAGATTATGACATTAGAGGTAGAGTTATGAAGAAAATGTATGTATTGAGCACTTATAATAAATGGGCTATTTGGAATGAAATTAATATGATTTCATGCTTCCTGACTTTTTTCTTTTATGCATGTGAGTACTGTGATCTTTTATTCAGTGTGTTTTTCTTGTAGGATTGCTACCTTGTATACATTCTCACTGAAATGGCTGGAAGTACATCAATGGTGTTCACCCGTACATGTGATTCAACTCGGCTTTTGGCTTTGATTCTTAGGAATCTTGGTCTAAAAGCCATCCCAATTAATGGTCATATGAGCCAGGTAACTGTACTAAAGATTCTTGTGTTATAATAGTAATTTGTTCTGAACTTGTTGTGTTTTCTTCTTTTTTATTGGAGAGGGGATGATGGGGTGGAAGAAATGGCTATCTTTATCATCTTTTTTTCGTTGTTTGTCGCTGAGCAATTGCAGAATCTTTAAGTTTTATCGTTATAATCTTTTGACAGCCAAAGAGACTTGGAGCATTGAATAAGTTCAAGTCTGGGGAGTGCAATGTTCTCCTTTGCACTGACGTTGCAAGTAGAGGACTGGATATTCCGACGGTAGATATGGTGATTAACTATGACATTCCCACAAACTCCAAAGTAAGATGTGCTATGTATTTCTTTTATATTTTAATTCACGTTTTATTACTGTTATAATTGATCACAGTTTAAAGGGGGCGAATCGGAGCAGTCGTAAAGCTGTTCTTTCATGACTGGAAGATCATGGGTTCGAATCCAAGAAACAGTCTCTTTGCAATTATGCAAGGGTAAGACTGCGTACAAGGATTGCCTCCACTCCACACTCGCTAGTCGGGTTTCCATGGGGAGTGGTTTTTTTTTTATTTTTAATTTTTTAATTTTTTATAATTGATCACAGTTTGCAGTTAGCCTTGTGCAATTTTAGGAATTTATTAGTAATCTCACGGTTATTCGTGAATGACACATCTAAATTGACATGAAACCTGGAATCATAGAAGGGGATGAACATTTTAAGAATTTTCTTTATTATTATATTTCACTAGATTTCTAATATTGTGAGCTACAGGATTATATACATCGTGTGGGAAGAACTGCTCGAGCAGGACGCTCCGGAGTTGCTATTTCCCTTGTGAACCAGTATGAGTTGGAGTGGTACATTCAAATAGAGAAACTTATAGGTATATGCTCTGCCTCTGCTTTGACATTTTAAGGAGCTAAAGTTTCTTAATTAATAACAAATGCAAGTTTATATCAGGCAAGAAGCTACCAGAATATCCAGCACAAGAAGAGGAAGTTTTGCTTTTGGAGGAGCGTGTTAGTGAAGCCAAAAGATTAGCAGTAATGGTAAAAAAATTATTCATTGTAGTTATATTTTTAGACAATTATTTTTGTCTATTTTAATTTAAAAATAGAAAAATAAGGAAGGATATTTTCTAGTAAGTTGATTTTGTGATGTGCTTTATTTACCTGTTCCAATTGAATTTAGTTATCATTCGGTATAATGTGTATTTTATAAATTTCTAGTTTCAGAGAGGTGATACTGTGATAAAAAGCAACTAGTAGCTGATGTGTATGTAAAGATGCAAGTGGTGTGGTTATATTCCTGGAAATTGTAAATTATGAAGGATTTGAAATCACCTAATGTTTATGTGCTTGAGTTTAGTTACTTTTTCTAAGTGCTTTACTTAACTGATTATAATTTTGTTTATGTAGAAAATGAAAGAGACCGGAGGGAAGAAGAAACGAAGGGGCGAAGGAGATTTTGATGAGGAGGATATCGACAAGTACTTAGGTCTGAAGGAGGGAAAATCGTCCAAGAAATTTAAAAGAAGATGAGATCTATTATCACACTGAGTAAGTGATATTTTTGTAACAGACAGAGATGAATGAGACAAAAGATGCCATGAAAAATTTATGAAAAACTGAGATTTTATGCCACTTGTGATCTACTTTGAGATGCTGCTGCTGCTGCTGTTTTTTTTTTTTTTTTTTTTAAAGTTTCCCAATGCATTGAGCTTTAGTTATAAATTTCCTAGTCATAATGCAAAACTATAAATTCAAACTTGAGGTTTAATTAATAAAAAGTTTGATTTTAATTCATTGAATTCAAACAAATCGAGAGCTTAAAATGGGCTTTTTCACCCTTTTGCCCTTCATTAATTATTTAATAATTATTTTGTACTTTATTCAGAACTATCTACCAATCTGTCTTTCTTTAATCGATTAAGCCAAAAATTTAATCGATTAAATGGTCAAAATAGGCAAAAAATTGTTGACTTGAAGATTTAGTCGATTAAATCTCTCTATTTAATCGATTAAATTTCTCATGCATAAGGTTGTTCTTCTGATAAAGACGAAGATTTAATCGATTAAGTTGAAGATTTAATCGATTAAATCTTCATTTGACCATTTAATCGATTAAATATTCAATTTAATTGATTAAAGAGGGACAGATTGGTAGATAGTTTGCAATAAGGGACAAATTGATTATTAAATAATTAATGAGGGGCAAAAGGGTGAAAAAGTCGTTTAAAATGAACTAAACTTGAGCTATGAAAATGAACTCGGTATTAGATTTACTATTTATTCTAAATTGAAATGGAATTTGATTAAAACAAAAATATAAAATAAATTAATTTATAATTCACAATTTGAGGTACATTTTATATATTTTTTCATCAAATTAAAAATTCACAAATAAAAATTTAAAATTAAATAAATCATGCAACACATAGATAAGAGTAAATATCTTTTTTGGTCCCTAACAAAAAATACGATTTTTACTTTAGTTCCTTATAAAAAAATTAGTTTCAAAGTCCCTAAGAAATTCAAAGTGGACTAATTTAGTTAAATCGTGGTTCCTCACGAATTCAAAAAATACTCATATTAATCCCTCAAAAGGATTAAAATAGGTTCACTTTGAATTTTATAGGGACCAGTCGACTAATAATTTTTTGTAGGGGACTAAAGTGAGAACCGTATTTTTTGTTAGAGATCCAAAAGTTTATCGTGGTCTACTGTAATTGAACCATATCCAAATCAAATTATTTATGCGCCTATTTAAGCAAGATAAATATATGGAAAAATATTTTTGTTTTAAATGCAGAAAATTTTATCTGTAGTTTACTATACTATGTTTTATTGGTAAGACATAGTGTATCGACTTTTTTTTTTTAATTAGTGAGTTCTACTTTTTTTTAAAAGATGTCTCTGGTAGACACCCTTCTCTACCATAACTGCAGATCTGATGAACCATAAATATATATGAAAAAAAAACAACTTTTGGCAAATAAACATGTTCAGTAACTATTTTGTATGATTAAAAGTTTTTGGGAGATCAAACCAATTCTAGTGATATAAATGTATTTGTTGACCAAATAATATATTTAATTTATTTTATAAATATGCACCACCGGCAGTAGCAAGATTCCCTGTTTTGTTGAGAGTACACAACCAACACAAAGGGTGGGAAGACGAGTGAAGACAATTAGGCATAGGAGAGGTGAAGACAATTTGTTTTATTACTTTTTTTTTCCTTATTTAAAATATATAAATAAAGGTCAAATAGTTAACGCAAGCATTCAAAGCTAAAATAAAATTAGATTCACTTAAATCTAATTAAATTTAAGCGAACTTTATACACCAAAATTTTTTTGATTGAAAAATATACATTTTAAATTAAAAGAATGTCAAAATTGAATCAATTCCCTCTTCAAATCTTTTAGAATAAAAGCCTTTATTTATAAATTGTTAGAGTAGTTGTTAGAATAGTCCAGTGTATATAATAGAATAGCCCCACATCTTGTGGGCTTAGCCCATTAGGTCTTTTACTTTATTTAAATAAAGAGCTATTGTACATTGTAACACATAATTATCCAATATACAATTATTCAATCTCAAGTTGGTACCAAAGCTGGTTGTTCTGGGGACCCTTCCTTCCGCTAAAACCCTAAGCCCACTGCTTAGGTATTTTCTTCTACTTTTCCATACGTCCTTCCGGCAGGCGCGTCCCTCCGGCTTGGTTTTGCAACTGTTCACGCGGTACTGTTCTTCGCATCCGTACGGTTCTTATTCTTCGCGTCCACACGGTCACTGCTCATCGCATCCGTACAGTCACGGTTCATCGCGTCTGCACCGGTAATGTTCACGTGTCCGTACGGGGTACTGCGCACGTCCGTACTATCATTGTTCACGTCGTTGGAAACATTGTTCAAGTTGCCGGAGTTACTATCGCTGGAAACACGTGTTCCTTCTTGTTTGACTATCTAGTTGTTCCGATTTGCTTTGTTCTACAAGTTTTTATTGCGTTCGTAATGGCAGAATTATCTGCTCCTAATTCATCTTCTGTTATTTATTCCACTGCTCTTGATTCTCGTACTGACTCTCGCTGGAACAGTGGATGTAGTCAAAGACCTTGTTGTAGTTATTGTCAGCAATTTGGTCATTATGAGGAATGTTGTTACATGAAGTATCCTCACATGCGACCTTCTCATACTGTGAATATAGTTCAGTCGGATACTCCTTCATCTAGTTTAATCTATCTCTCTCCTGTAGATTATGCAGCACTTCAGACTCTTCTCAGGAAGGCTTCTCCTCAGTCTTAGCCTTCTGCTCTAGATATTGGTAATCCCGTTGCTTGTGTTTCTTATTCTACATCACTTGGCCCTTGGATATTTGACTCAGGTGCTACCGATTATCTCTGTGGTAATAAGAAACTATTCACGTCTCTTACTTATTCTGATCATTTGCCTTCTTTTACCATTGCTGATGGAACCAAAGTCCCAATTTGTGGGATTGGACAAGCTCGTCTGACCTCTACCTTAACCTTGACATCTGTCTATTACATCCCTGGCATCCCTTATAACTTAATTTCTGTTAGTAAATTGGTCCACTCCCTCACTTGCACCATTACTTTCTCTAACCATTCTATTTCTGTGCAAGATCCGGGTACAGGAAGATGATTGGAGAGGGTCGTGAGTCACAGAGGCTTTATTATCTGGTTGTACCTCGTCCTACAGTGGCATGCTCTCTCACAGAATCTCTATAACTTATCCACAGTCACCTCGGTCATCCAAATTTTTCAAAATTACAAAAGATGGTTCCTCTTTTATCTGGTATTCAATCTTTAGATTGTCTGTCGTGTCAGCAAGGGAAGCACACATGCTCTTCCTTTGCCAGTCGAGTCAATAAACGAGCTGATGCTTTTTTCTCCCCTATTCATTTAGATATTTGGGATCCAAGTCGTACTTTGTTTGTTTTAGATTTTCGGTATTTTTGTTACTTTTATTGATGATTATTCCCGTTGTACCTGGGTTTATCTAATGAAAAATCTTTCTGAGTTATTCTCTCCATTTATAAAAAGTTATCTGCTGAGGTTCATACTCAATTTGGTGTTTCTATTCGTATTTTACGTAGTGATAATGCTAAGGAATATATTTCTTTTGATTTTCCTAATTTCTTGGCTACTTAGGGTGCGCATGACAACCTTCCCGGAATCATTTCTTTTTTAATTTATGTTTCCGGAAACAGAAATGGATAGGAAACTCGTTTAGTAAAATTCGTTTATTTTTTTGTTCCCGGGATGAACCGGTTTAATTTTTGTGCTGGGGAACAGAAAAAAGAATCAAAAAATTTCTGCTTTTTTGTTCTCAGGCTCAAAATGAGAAACACTTATCTCTCTCAATCACTCTCCACCTCTACCATCACCACCACCACCATCATCCCGACACGATTGTCGCCACCATCTTCGCCGTTGCCATCGTACCACTAGTGCCGCCGTCACCACCACGATGTCACCGCCACCATTACCACCACCTCCACCCATCACTACCACCATGCCACCACCACCACAACTACCATCGCCGTCGCCACCACCACCACCATCAACCACCACCACCATCATCGCAACCATTGCTGTCACTGCCACCATCGCCATCACTACCACCACCACGACGCCGCCACTACCATCACCACCACTGTCACCAACCACCACTACCATTGCCGCAACCACTACCGTCTTCACCACCGTCGCCGCCTCTGCCACCAACCACCACCACCATCGTCACAGCCATTACCGTCATCACCACCACCATCACCACCATTACACCAACGCCACCACTACCATCACCAAGCCATCGCCACCATCACCACCACCACTGTCACCTACCACCACCGCCGCAACCACTGCCACCACCACCACCATGATGCCTTCGCAACCACCACCACCATGATGCCTTCGCAACCACCACCACCATTTCACTGCTACCATTGTTGCCGCCACCAACCACCATACCCATCACCATTGTCGCTGCCACTGCCATCACCTCCACCACCACCACCACCATCACCACCACTACCACCGTCGCTGCCACCATTATCACCGACATCGTCGCAGCCACTGCCGTCACAACCACCACCACAATCTTCACCACGTCACTGCCACCACCACTACCGTACCGCCGCCGCCACCACCACCACAACCACACCATATGGAAAGGAAAGAGTTGATCTGAATTTTTTTTATATTTAATAGGAATTATTTTTTATTATATTATTTGTTGTGTTATCAAACACAATTCTCATTCTCGGAATAAAAATGGAACATGTTATCAAACACATTTTTTTTCTCAGAAACTGTTCTAAGGCACAGAAATAGAAAAGAATTGTTTCTTTTCAGAAACAGTGCTCAGGAATAGATTGGTTGTCATGCACACCCTTAAGGTACTTTACATCAGACCACCTGTCCTCACACTCCACAAAGAAATAGGGTGTTCGAACGTAAAAACAGACATCTCATTGAAACTGCCTGTACCCTTCTTATTCACATGAAGGTTCCTCTTCACTTCTAGGTGGATGCCGTACTAGCCTCTTATTTTCTCATCAATCGCGTGCCTTCCTCTATGCTTAACAATAACATTCCCTATAACCTATTGTTTCCAAATGCTCCTCTTTATTCTCTATCTCCACATGTTTTTGGTTGTACCTGTTTTGTTCATGATCTTACTCCGAGTAAGGACAAGTTAACATCCAAAGCCTTTAAGTATATTTTTCTTGGTTATGCTCGTCTTCAAAAGGGTTATCGTTGTTATTCTCCTGATCTTAAGCGTTATATTGTTTTCGCTGATATCACTTTTCTTGATGAACAACCCTTTCATTCTAACCCATCTAAGTTGTCACAGGTTGATCAAGTTCTTCTTGTTCCCTTTCTTGACTTGTCTTTACCAGCTATAGGTGACTTTCTTCTAGAGAAAATTGCCTCCATCCTTGAGGATCGTCTTTTTCTCACCTATCAGCGTCGTCAGAAAGTACTTCTTAGGGAATCGCCTTCTCCTGTCACCTCTTCCCCTCCGGCTCCTACACCAAAAGGCTCTTCCCATTGCCCAAAGAAAAGGTATATGTACTACTCGTAACCCTTATCCTCTTTATACCTTTATAAGCTATGACCATTTTTCTATTCCTCATTTCACCTTTGTTTGTAGTTTTTCTTCTGTTTCTATTCGTAAGACCACATGGGAAACACTTTTCCATCTAGGTGGCGCCAAGTGATGCTTGATTAGATGACTGCTCTTCATTCCAATGGCACTAGGGATCTTACTCCTGCTCCTCCGGGGAAGTCTATTGTTGGTTGCCGGTGGGTTTTTAATGTCAAGGTTGGGCCTGATGGCCATGTTGATTGTCTTAAGGCACGCTTAGTCACCAAGGGTGTACTCAGATTTTTGGTCTTGACTATAGTGGCACGTTCTCTCATGTTGCTAAGATGGCGTCTGTTCGCATGTTTCTTGCCCTCGCTGTTGTTCGTCACTGGCCTCTCCTTTAACTAGACACTAAAAATGCTTTTTTTCATGGTGATTTACAAGAAAAGGTTTACATGGAGCAATCAACTGGGTTTGTTGCTCAGGGGGAGTCTGGGAAGGTATGCAGACTTTATAAGTCCTTATATGGCCTCAAGTAGTCTCCTCGAGCATGGTTCAATCGTTTTAGTTCTGTCGTTTAGGCTTTTGGCTTAATCTGCATAAGGTCAATCATTCTGTGTTTTATAGTTTCACATCTCCTGACAAGTGCATATATCTGTTAGTCTATGTTGATGACATTATTCTCACTGGAAGTGATCAAGCTGGGATTCACCAGTTAAAACAGCATTTGTTTAGTCAATTTCAAACGAAGGATCTTGGTAAGTTTCATTACTTCTTAGGGATTGAAGTGGCACAGTCTAGATAGGGAATTTCTATATGTCAAAGGATTGCCTTGGATATCCTAAAAGAGACTGGTATGTTGGGGTGTAAGCCGGTTGATACACCCATGGATCCTACTATCAAATTATTACTCGGATAGGGAGAGCCATTATATGATCCTGGACGTTATCGGAGGTTGATTGGGAAGCTTAATTATCTCACTGTGAGTAGGCCGAACATTTCTTTTGCTGTTAGTATGGCTAGTCAGTTCCTTGACTCTCCTTGTAATTTTCATTGGGATGTTGCTATGAGGATCCTCTGGTACATTAAAGGAGCACTATGAAAAGACTTATTATATCCAGATTAGAGAAATACAAAAATTTGTGGTTATTCAGATGCTGATTGGGCAGGATCACCCTTAGATAGGCGCTCTACTTCAGGCTATTGTGTCGTCTTTGGAGGAAACCTGATTTCTTGGAAAAGTAAGAAACAAACTATTGTTGCCCGCTCTAGTGCAGAGGCTAAGTATCGTGCATTGGGAGTTGTTACCTGTGAGCTAACTTGGTTAAAGCAGTTGATTTGGGAGCTTCATCTTTGTGAACAGAAATAACTCATGACACTCATTTGTGACAATCAAACTGCGTTACATATATAATCTAATCCTATATTTCAAGAGAGAACCAAACATATAGAGATCGATTGTCATTTCATTCTAGAAAAGATTCAATCAAGAGAGATCAAAACGACATTTGTCAACTGCCTCAAATGTGTAAATGAACATCTGATTAGGAAGTTATTGGACTCCAATCCGTGAGAGGGCCATTAAAATGGGAATTATACAGAGAATGCACGAATTTCTACATTCTGTCTGATAAGTATTCGCATACTTTTCGTGTAGTATTCAAATACTCATCAGGAGGTAGTCGAATACTCATTGAAGGAGTATTGAGATACTTTTCTAGGAAGAAAAGTATTCGGATACCTTAGTGTAAGTATTCAAATACTAGGTAGTATTCGGATACTATGTGGTATTCGAATACTTAAGTGAAAGTATTCGGATACTTTCTGGAGACTTGGAGCATTCAGATACTCATCGAGGAGTATTCGAATACCTCATGCAGAATTAGCCTAAAATCACCTAAAGCAAGTTGGAAAGCCTTAAACACTTAGTGAAACCTTGGGCTGTGAATAATAATGATTGTTTCTGCTATAAAAAGACTGTGAGGGTGTTGTTTGGTGACTTTGGGCCGATGTGGACTCTTTGATTGGATTGTTAGCTTGCGAGGTAAGCTTTCGTGTCCTCGGTTTTGCCCATGTTTGGTTCCACCATACCTCATGGAGGGATGGTTTATATGCATGGTGTGCTTTATGAAATATTGATTTATTGAAATGCTATTGAGCTGTTAAGTGCAAATGCCTTATGATATGTATGTAGTGTTCCACCTAGACGGTAAGTCTGAGTATGTAGCGTCATACAATATGGTGATCCTGTGGGTGGGTACAAGTAGCGTCTTATACTACTGTGGGTTGTAGACGTATGTAATTCCTGCATGTTCTCTGGCCAGTACTGACACACATTACATGATTATATGCTGCATTGCACATATTTAGAACTTATACTGTTGACTGTTTTAGAACTTATATTGAACATGTAAGTGAGCTTGGAGCGGAGAGATCCTTGAGGACCCCTTGTCTTACTGAGATTTCTTTTTAGAGATCTCACCCCACGTTTGAGGCACATTTTCAGGTTCAGGTATCTCGGGGTTGATACCTCTGGCGGCAGAAGGCCGTAGTTGAGTTGAGACATATGATGTTGTGCTTTTATGCCTGGCTGTTTATCGTGACTTATGGCCATTATGTTGCTGTTTGAGTTTAGACTATGTTGGGCTTTGTTGCCTTATTTGGTGAGTATGGGGATTGTCCATGCCACTTTGATTGCTTTGTTTATTTAGACTCGTGTTGTGTAATGAATCAAGATTTTGTCCGGACTACGTGTTGTGGTTCCGTGACTAGATACACATTGGTACTATGAGTTATTCCAGTTAGTTATTTATTGCAATTTACATACAGGCAATATTTTGAAAAAAAGGATTAAGTAATCAACTCGGTTAATAATAATGACGTCATAATTGAAAAGAAAAAGTTAGCTTCCGCATTTAATTTAGTTGCGCCATTACCATTGTATGATAATACACCGGGTGCACACGAGGTGTTACCACAGTTGTCATTAAATACCATTATATTATTCACGCAATTTGGAACCCTTAAATTGAGATTTTGGTTTTGGTTTTCCTTCAGCCTCAACGACTTATTATATAATTAGTGCTTCTAAACTTTAAATGTTTAATCGTTTCGTTGATGAGACTCAGTGAGTCAGAGGGTCTACTGCCACTGTTACCACCGCCTCTGCCGCCACCACCACCTACTGAGACTCCCCTTTGCCAAAATGAAAATGCATTTGGTTAAGGGTAGGTTATCTTAGTGGACTTTTCAGTTTTCACGTTGTTCTGAAACTAAGGACCACCAGCTTTTTTTTGTTTTGTAACAATGTATTTTGCATTGCCTTGATATTCATATAATATTATTTCTACCTCATTTGATTGAAATTGATATATAGGTAATGTATGTTCAGGTTGAATCAGTGTTGTTTAATTAGGCTCTTCCAATTGTTTGAGTATTTTTTTATAGGATTATATCTGTTGTTCTGTGATGGAGTTGAATATATCTAAACCAGAAACATAACAAAATAGGCATGGGAGAAAGAAATCTAATGTGTGGGAACACTTCACTGTGAAAACGGATGGAGTCTGTCAGAAGAATCAACAAACCGCATGTTATAAAATTGGTGTCGATCTACCAAAGAAACCGACAAGAACAAAACCTGACTTTGCTGCTATCTCATTTGATCAGAAGAGTTGCAACAATAAGATGGCTAAAATGATTATTTTGCATATTTATATCCACTTTACATAGTGGAACACCAAGGTTTCATTTATTTTGTGCGGGCACTTCAACCCGAGTTCAATCCACTAAGCTTTAATGTTGTCCAAGAGGATTGTGTTGCTATGTATCTTGGAGAGAAGCAAAGCCTGTTGAAGCTTATCGATGAGATTCCTGGGCGAGTCAACCTCACTTTGGACATCATATGAAATTCAAACCAGACATCGGTCTATGTTTTTCTTCGGGGACACTTCATTGATGGTGAATGGAAGTTGTATCATCCCATTCTTAATGTTGTGATGTTGTCATTTCCTGATTCTGACGGTTCCTTAAATCAAACCATAGTAACCTGCCTAAGTGATTGGCATTTTCACTCGATAAATTCTTTTCCAATGAGGCTTTGAGGAGAAATCTGAGAGATCTCCTCCCTCCTAGAAGCTCTTCGATCCTCAGGGGCCTATTATTAAGCCAAAACCGTTATGCTTGTGTGCTTATATAGTCGCCTTACGTTAGATGCGCTAGGGGCAATGAGAGAAACTATTGGTGAAGTTTGTGAGAGTGTGAAGTACATGAAATCTCATGAAAAGAAGTTCTTTGAGCCGAGGCAACAACTTCAAATCCCTAGTATGGTGGACCTTTCAATTGATGACCAAAATAAATGGGACACGGTCTACCATATGCTTGTTGCTGCCTGTGAGTTAAAGCAAGTATTTGATTGGTTTGATGATGCCTCTGATCTTGATTACAGAGTGACTCTGACAATGGATGACTGGAAGCAGGTAAAAATTCTCTATGTATATTTGAAGTATTTGTATGATGCGGCTAACATTTTAACTATCCAACCATACCCAACTGCAAACTTAATTTTTTCCTCAAGTGTCAAAACTTCTGGTAGAGTTGACTCATGCAGCCTTCAGCTAGGATCCTTTATGCAGTAGTTTGATTATGCCTTTGCAAGAGAAGTTTGAGCAATATTGGAGGGAAAACTGGTTCATGTTGGCAGTTGCTGTAGCCATGGATCCGAGGTGTAAAATGAAACTTATGGAATCCACCTTTGCTCAGATATTTGGTGACAATGTTGAGTCATGGATAAGAATTGTTGAGCATGGTCTTAATGAAATATTCGATGATGATTATATCAAACAAGTGCTTCCTTATACAGAGACAAATGATGATGATGATGAAGGGAATGAGGCTATGATAACGTCCGAGTCATTTGAAGAAGGGTCAGTTGATGGATCTCTTTTCCTTGTTGAAGATGGACTAGTGATATATATGACTTAACAGGTAACCAGCAATGGAAGATGGAATTGACTGAGTATCTGGAAGAGCCTCTAGAGCCCAGTACTGTATAGAAATTATATATTCTGAACTAGTGGAAAGTAAACGGATTGAAGTACCCAACATTGTCTAGAATGACTTCTGATATTTTGTCTATACCGACGTCTACTCTCACTACAGATGTTGTTTTTGATACTGAAATTAGAGAAATGGATAGCTACCGGAGTTCATTAGACTCCCTGACTCTTGAGGCCCTTATTTCTATCAGGGACTGGTTCCAGAATAAATCATTATCCATCGATGTTTCTAATGCACTTGTGAAAGTGGAATATTAGATATAGGTTTCTTCTTTTAGGATAGATTCTCAAGTAGTTTTTTGTTATTGAAATTTTGGAATTGTAATTCAGGTCAATTAATTTCTGTGATTTACAGTCAGTTTTTTTAATTAATTGTTTATAAATTCAGGTCAATTAATTTCTGTGATTAACAATCAATTTTTTTATTAATTGTTTATAATATAGTATTGATTCTATTCTAATCTTTTTGTCAATACTGTTTTGTATACAAAACATCAATTGTATTCACAGATTCAATAAAAAACCTTCCCAGGCTTTTATTGCCATATAAACATTGACCCATTATATTACACTGAGTTGGTGTGCTTAATACGAAAAGATTTTCTTATTTGCAAACCAGTATTGAGCCGTCACCTTTTCACTTTTTTTGATTGGAAAAATATAGAGAGAATGTGTTGGAATGTTTTATTTTACAGAATAATATTTCTGCACTTAATGCAGATAAATTATCTGTATTTATTCTCAAAACGACGTCGGTTTGGAATTGAAATATTAAATAATTATAATTATAAAGACTATAATAACCCTGAAATAAATTAAAATTATAAAAATACCATGATTTTCGCCTCAAAACGACGTCGCATTAGACTTACTGCAGATAACTTATCTACAGTAGCTGTAGAAAAAATGAACCTTTAATTTTATTCTATTATATAAAAATAAAAGTAGTGTAACAATATTGTAACATTTTTTTTTTTTTTTTGCAAATAACATAATTATAGTGAACATTGGGTACTTTAGAATTAGAATTAACTTAAACTGTCTGTGCAATTTTCAGTTTATTTATTTTTTATTGACTATATTATAATTTTATATATTTTTTATTTTAATTGCATTTTAGGATTATTATGTACTACATAAAAGGATAGTTAAGACTTTTTTTTGTTGTAAATAGTTAAGACTTTAATTGGAAAAAAAACCACTCCTCTATTTCATGAATTCGAACCCATCACCTTTCAGTCATAAAAGAACAATTTACCGGTGCTCTGATAAGAGTTTGTACCCTTAATAGAGGAAGAGAAACCGAATAACAAACAAGAAACTTTATTTTTCTCAATGAATCGTATCAGTTACAATAGCTGTCATTTTATTACAAGGACAACAAGACATGAATGTCCAAACAATGCCACGTCACGTTTTTAATGACTATATCAGTAGCTACAATATTATTCCCTTAACCTTCTACTCCCTTCTAATACACTCACTGTAACTCTTTTATACAATTGTATTATATCTACCACTTATGTCCCTAATGAATGTTAACAGCAAAGTCTTTAGCCCAGCTTGGAGCTCCTCTTCTCCTCTTCGTAACATTTCCCCCATCTTGCAAAGCAACCTTGTCCTCAAGGTTCAATTGAGGGTAATACAATTTAAGATCAGCCTCATCCTCCCAAGTAGCATTTTCTGGTAAAGCATGGGACCGTTGAATCAACCATTGAGTCCCTACTGTATTTTTACCTGGAACCTTATGAGACATGAGAACAGCCACAGGCTCTTGAACAAGGAAATTTCCATGATTAAGTGCAGGTAAGGTTGGAACTAAATCAGGGTGATCACCCTTAAATGGTTTCAAAACTGATACATGGAAAGAGGGGTGTATGATACACCCATTCGGTAGCTGCAATTGGTAGGCAACTGGACTCAGAATTCTGGTCACAGGAAAAGGGCCAAAATACCTTTTTGCCAACTTTTGATTCTGCCTCTATGCCACTGAAATTTTCCTGTAAGGCTAAAGCTTCACAAGGACTAAATCTCCCATAGCAAAAGAGATGTTCTTCCTGTGTTTATCTGCTTGCACCTTCATTCTATTTTGGGCTCCTTGCAAATGATTTTTAAGTTGAGCCAATAATGCATTGCGTTGAATCAAGGTTGAGTCTAATGCTTCCACTCGAACAGGCCTTGCTAATAATAAAGTATCATTGTTGGCAGCTTCCCATACAGTGCTTGGAAGGGACTCATGCCAATAGAAGAGTGACGGGCTATATTATAATGCAATTCAGCCCACCCCAAATAAAGTGACCACTTGTGATTCTCATCAGAACAAAAGGCTCCAAGATATTGTTCCAAATATCTATTTGTAACTTCAGATTGTCCGTCCGATTGAGGATGATATGAGGTGCTTGTATGCAGCTTGGTGCCACTAAATTTGAACAGCAGTGTCCAAAACTGACTCAAGAATACAGTGTCCCTGTCAGATACTATGGTTTGTGGAAACCCATGAAGTTTCACTACCATATCACAAAACAATGATGCTACCTTTGCTGCTATATACGGGTTTGCTAATGCACCAAAGTGTGCATATTTTGTGAGGTGATCCACCATTACAAATATTACAGAAAGGCCACGGGACAATGGAAGTCTAGTTATAAAATCCATACTAATGTCTTCAAAGACTCCATTTGGAATTGGCAAGGGCTACAACAACCCAAATGGAGGAGTGGTGGCTGTTTTAACAAATTGGCAAGTAGAACATTCTTTAATATACTTAGTCACGTCTCTTCTCATTTGTGGCCAATAAAAAGAGGCTGATAAACGAAGGAAGATGCGTGTCACACCAGCATGGCCTCCTAATGGAGTAGCATGAGCTTCAGTTATTAAATCTGCCCTCAGTTGAGAATTTGAGCTAATGAAAAAACGATTTTTATGGAATAAAATTCCATTTCTCACAGAAATACACAAGTCAGAGCATTCACCATTTTCTAATTTGGAGTGAATAAGTAACAAATCAGGATCTTTCTGGTTCTCCTTCCTAATTTGATCAATGATGTTAAATGAAATTTCTGAGACAAGAGATAAGCACTTACCAGGATCATCTTCCTCGTCTCTTCTAGACAAGGAATCAGCTACAATATTGGTTATACCCGGTTTGTATTCAATGGAAAAGTCATACCCCATCAGCTTGTAGGCATATTTTTGTTGCTCCAATGTCTGAATAGTTTGAGAAAAAAGCTCCTTTAGAATCCTATGATCAGTTCTAATAATGAACCTGGAACCTAACAGATAGTGGCACCATTTTTTTACAGCCTCAGTTACAGCAAGAAGCTCCCTTACATATGTTGATGCAACTTTCATCCTAGGGCCCAACTTCTTACTGAAAAAAGCTACATGTTTATTTCTTTGCAACAATACAACACCAATACCAAATGAAGATGCATCTGTTTCAATAATAAAGGGTAATGAAAAATCAGGTAAGGCTAAAATTGGTGTGGAAGACATTGTTTTCTTCAGCAACAAAAAAGATTCCTCTGCATCAGCACTCCATACAAAAGCACCAGTCTTCAAAAGGTCAGTAAGTGGGGCTGCCACAGAAGCATATTGGTTAATAAAACGTCTATAGTAACCAGTGAGGCCTAGGAACCCTCTCAATTGCTTAATGTTCTTGGGTTGAGGCTATTGCATCATTGCTTCTATCTTCCTTGGGTCGACCTTAACTCCTTCCCTAGAAACCAAGTGCCCCAAATAGTCTATTTCTGATAGTGCAAAGCCACACTTGCTAAGCTTGACCATGAAATGATTTTCCTGTAAACAGGCCAATGTCAACCGAATATGATCTAGATGTTGTAAGAAGGAACCACTATATATTAAGATGTCATAAAAAAAAAACTATGATGAACCTTATCAAGTATGGTCGAAACATTTGATTCATGGAAGATTGGAAAGTAGAAGGAGCGTTGGTCAAACCAAACGGCATCACCATGAACTCATAGTGACCATCATGAGTGCGAAAAGCTGTTTTAGAAGTATCTCATGGAATCAGCCTTATTTGATACAATAGCATCCTTTAACTCATCAAGTAGTTCATCAATTGTCGGAATTAGGAAACGATCCTTCACAGTGATAGCATTCAAAGCTCGATAATCTATGCACATCCTCCAAGAATTATCCTATTTTTTGACTAACAAAACAGGTGAGGAAAATGGACTACAACTTGTTTTAATCAAACCCGATTGTAACAATTCAACTACCTGTCTTTCAATTTCTGTTTTTTGATTGTGCCCATACCTGTATGGTTTCACATTCACTGGTTTAGAGCCTGGAAGTAGATGGATGGCATGATCACAGTCTCTTAAAGGAGGTAAGCATTGGGGTACTTGGAAAACTGATTGATGGTGTACCAAAATATTCCATACTTCCAAAGGAATTTTTTCTTTCAAAGCTGTCAACTCAGGCAACATGGTCCCTGACTCTTGCAAAGCTGCATCCTCCACTGCTAAGGACAGACATTCACCTCTAAGTTGCAACATCTGCTCCCTGTTTCCTTGACCACACAGTAAGACTCTATTCCCCTTTCAATTAAACTCCATGGACATCTCACTGTAATCATGGATTACCCTTCCCAAAGAGCTCAGCTATACTATGCCCAAAATGACTCCCAAGCTTCTCAATTCAATTACCCACAAATCAACCTTAAAATCGCACCCTTGAATATTCAATTCCACAACATGGCATTTTTTTTCATAAACCAAAAATTCCCCATTGCCCAAGAAAACTCTCATTCTGGAAATTCTGACCATCGGTAGGCCCATTTTCTCTGCTAGTTCTTTTTGTACAAAATTATGAGAGCTACCTGAATCAATCAAAATTGAAACTAACCTGCCACCCATTGCAACTTTGAATTGTAAAGCTCTGGGATTCTGATCACATTCAAGAGAATGGAGAGCTGCATCATGACACTCCTGCTGGCCTTGTTCAGGTTGCCATACGATGTGCTCATCCAAGTCCTCTTCATCATTATCAAACTCTCCTACCATCATCAGCAACCGAGCCTTACATCTGTGCTTGGATGTCCACTTGTCATCACAAGTGTAACAAAGTCTTGCCTCTCTCCGCTTTTATAAGTACTCATTGGAAATTTTTTTGATAGGGACATTCGAAGGTAAAGCTGGAAGGAATGGTTTCACTGATTGCACTGCCTCATTCGGTGAATTATGTTCCACAACCGAAATTGGCTTAGGAAAAAATTTCTTGGTAGGAGGGGT